CACCCCTTATAAAACATCCGGCTGCCTCCGTCACAGGAGAACATAAATAGAAGCTCTCCATAGCTGCCAGATTTAAGAAGTGGACACATCTGACTCGGCAAGAAGGTCAGAGACAAACTGGGACATTAACGAGAACTGCTGTCAGCTGTCAGCCACACCGCACCGCCTGGAGCTAAAACTTTCACCATGAACGTCGTGCCCTGTGCCCGCTGCGGCTATGAGGTCTACCCGGCAGAGAAGATTAACTGCATCAACCAGGTCAGTGTCTGTTCTGGAATTGCTTCCTCTTTTATTATTATTATACAGGCTTTATAGAGCGCCAACAGTTTGCGCAGCGCTTTAAAATATAAGGAAGACATTACAATCACAATACAATTATATGGGTTGGACTTGATGGACGTATGTCTTTATTCAACCCCAAATACTAATGTAACTATGTAACAATTCAAGACAAGATGGTAAGGAGGGCCCTGCCCCTGAGGGCTTACAATCTAAGATGTTAGTGGCTACATAATATGGAAGTGCAGAATTATATCCATAGTCATACCCAGTCTATAGAATTGTACCCATAGTCATATACTGTCCATAGGATTGTATCCACATTAGTATCCTGTCCATAGAATTGTATCCACATTAGTATCCTGTCCATAGAATTGTATCCACATTTGTATCCTGTCCATAGAATTGCATCCACATTCATATCCTGTCCATAGGATTGTATCCACATTAGTATCCTGTTCATAGAATTGTATCCACATTCATATCCTGTCCATAGAATTGTATCCACATTCGTATCCAGTCCATAGAATTGTATCCACATTCGTATCCTGTCCATAGGATTGCATCCACATTTGTATCCTGTCCATAGGATTGTATCCACATTCGTATCCTGTCCATAGGATTGTATCCACATTCGTATCCTGTCCATAGGATTGTATCCACATTCATATCCTGTCCATAGGATTGTATCCACATTCATATCCTGTCCATAGGATTGTATCCACATTCAACACCGCACCGCCTGGAGCTAAAACTTTCACCATGAACGTCGTGCCCTGTGCCCGCTGCGGCTATGAGGTCTACCCGGCAGAGAAGATTAACTGCATCAACCAGGTCAGTGTCTGTTCTGGAATTGCTTCCTCTTTTATTATTATTATACAGGCTTTATAGAGCGCCAACAGTTTGCGCAGCGCTTTAAAATATAAGGAAGACATTACAATCACAATACAATTATATGGGTTGGACTTGATGGACGTATGTCTTTATTCAACCCCAAATACTAATGTAACTATGTAACAATTCAAGACAAGATGGTAAGGAGGGCCCTGCCCCTGAGGGCTTACAATCTAAGATGTTAGTGGCTACATAATATGGAAGTGCAGAATTATATCCATAGTCATACCCAGTCTATAGAATTGTACCCATAGTCATATACTGTCCATAGGATTGTATCCACATTAGTATCCTGTCCATAGAATTGTATCCACATTAGTATCCTGTCCATAGAATTGTATCCACATTTGTATCCTGTCCATAGAATTGCATCCACATTCATATCCTGTCCATAGGATTGTATCCACATTAGTATCCTGTTCATAGAATTGTATCCACATTCATATCCTGTCCATAGAATTGTATCCACATTCGTATCCAGTCCATAGAATTGTATCCACATTCGTATCCTGTCCATAGGATTGCATCCACATTTGTATCCTGTCCATAGGATTGTATCCACATTCGTATCCTGTCCATAGGATTGTATCCACATTCGTATCCTGTCCATAGGATTGTATCCACATTCATATCCTGTCCATAGGATTGTATCCACATTCGTATCCTGTCCATAGGATTGTATCCACATTCGTATCCTGTCCATAGGATTGTATCCACATTCGTATCCTGTCCATAGGATTGTATCCACATTCGTATCCTGTCCATAGGATTGTATCCACATTCGTATCCTGTCCATAGGATTGTATCCACATTCGTATCCTGTCCATAGGATTGTATCCACATTCGTATCCTGTCCATAGGATTGTATCCACATTCATATCCTGTCCATAGAATTGTATCCACATTCATATCCTGTCCATAGAATTGTATCCACATTCATATCCTGTCCATAGAATTGTATCCATAGTCATATACTGTCCATAGAATTGTATCCACATTCATATCCTGTCCATAGGATTGTATCCACATTCATATCCTGTCCATAGGATTGTATCCACATTCGTATCCTGTCCATAGGATTGTATCCACATTCGTATCCTGTCCATAGGATTGTATCCACATTCGTATCCTGTCCATAGGATTGTATCCACATTCGTATCCTGTCCATAGGATTGTATCCACATTCATATCCTGTCCATAGGATTGTATCCACATTCGTATCCTGTCCATAGGATTGTATCCACATTCATATCCTGTCCATAGGATTGTATCCACATTCGTATCCTGTCCATAGGATTGTATCCACATTCATATCCTGTCCATAGGATTGTATCCACATTCATATCCTGTCCATAGGATTGTATCCACATTCGTATCCTGTCCATAGGATTGTATCCACATTCGTATCCTGTCCATAGGATTGTATCCACATTCGTATCCTGTCCATAGGATTGTATCCACATTCGTATCCTGTCCATAGGATTGTATCCACATTCGTATCCTGTCCATAGGATTGTATCCACATTCGTATCCTGTCCATAGAATTGTATCCACAATCATATCCCTTCCATAGAATTATATCCACATTTGCATCCTGTGGATAGATAGATAGATAGATAGATAGATAGATAGATAGATAGATAGATAGATAGATATAAATGGGGACCCCAATATTAGGAAAACCCCGGGGGCACAACAAGAGGTTAGAAGAGAGGGGGTTCAAGCTTAGAATTCATAGGGGGTATTTCACTGTGAGAGTGGAGAAAGTTTGGAATTCCCTATCACGGGCCGTGGTATCTGCTGATAACATTGATAATTTCAAGAATCTACTGGATGAGTTTCTTCTTTCTCAGAATCTACAGGGATATGGGAAGTGTTAGAGTAAGATAAACACACACACACACACACACATAGGTTGGACTGGATGGATCTTGGTCTTTATTCGAGCTTACATGCTATGTTACTAGATTGATAGATACATACGGTAGATAGATAGATAGATTTAAAGTGTATGTAAACCCTAACAATGAACTTCTCTTACTGGTGTGTTAAGTACACTATTTTAAAGCATTCTCTTATGTCTGTTCAATTAATAAAAACAAAATACCCAGAAGCTGATAATGTTTGTGTGCTGTTATCAGTTACATTGTTCCCAGCTATGTCTGAGGATTGCAGAACACCGCCCACTTATGCTATGTAGATGAGGAGTGGGGGAGGAATTCTGTTGTCCTTACACACTTCCTGTCCTAGGGTGAAAGGTCTGCTCCTCCATAAATACAGTACAGTGAGTGAGCGTTGTCACCCTACGACAGGAAGTGTGTTCCTGAAAGGATCAATTAGTAAAAGTATGGAAAAAAAACCCAGAAAACAAACATCTGATGCATAACTGCTAATGACAGGTAAGCTGCAATACATGACATTTTTCACCTTGGGTTTAGATACGCTTTAACTATATAAACCTTAGTAGATCAGCCACTAGAGGGAGCTCTCCACAGATCATTCATTTATTCTGCTTCACCTGCTGAGAAAAGATAACAATTATTTTCAGGAAACATGACAGTGATAACCTATAATATCTATGGAATTAAAGTATCTCATAGTTACATTTCATTAGAGACCTGTCCAGAGAGATATATGTGTAGGCTGTCATTGCTGACCTCTGCTTTTGAAGAATGCTAGCTGCATTGTCATTCTAATCCAATGGCTTCTGGATGTCCAGTGTCCTTGGTGTAAATACGAACAGGACCAGAATGATGGGATTGGCTAGAGTGGAAGTCTCTGTGTTTTGTTCAGAAAAGGTTTTCTTTCAGCGCAATGCTGCCAAACGAACCTGCAAAAGCGATGAAGTAAGTTAATACAGTTTTTAGAATCTATCATCAGTTTGTAGGTCAGAGGTGAGTGAAGGCAGGGACAGGGACATTAGATGAAGTATTGCACAGTAGGGCAGGGACAGCACAGTTCCCCTGTAGTCTGATTCCTGGATGTGCGCAGGGGGCTATTTCAGTCCTGGCCCTCTGTGTATCCAGCCAACTCCGTCCAGCTGCTTCACACTCAGTACACCTGATATATGATATGCTGCATAGGATGCTCTGCAACATGCACCCCACTCAAACATTGGAATATTTCCATACGTTAAGAACTTGAGGGGTTTATCACTAGAGGGGTCCCCAGCAGGAGGAAGGAGGTCCTGATCCCTCTATATAGATCTTTATTATCACTAGAGGGGTCCCCAGCAGGAGGAAGGAGGTCCTGATCCCTCTATATAGATCTTTATTATCACTAGAGGGGTCCCCAGCAGGAGGAAGGAG